GGTAAGGCCGCAGGGCCGGGCAGGGGCCGGGGAGCGTGGCCGTGCTGATGCTCCCCTGGGATCTCCGCTGGGGAACGGCCGTGCTGATGCTCCGGCGCTGGGGCTTCCTGCAGCTACGCCTCAGACGTGGCATCCGGCATGAGCGACGGTTGCGAGGGGCTCTCGGCCGGCGAGCGGAGCGCCAAGCTGCCGCCCAAGCGTGCCGCGGGGAAGCTGCTGCGGCGCAGAGCCCGGTCCAGGCTGCGCATCACCAACGTGAGTGCCGGGGGGGGGGGGCTGGGTGGGTGGGTGGGTGGTCCCTGGGCTGAGCCCACCCTGCCGCCCACAGATCTCCGACAAGAACGACCGGGTGGTGGAGTGCCAGCTGCAGACCTACAACAACAAGATGGTGACCTTCAAGTTTGACCTGGACGGGGACAACCCGGAGGAAATCGCAGCCGTCATGGTGAGCACGGGCAGGGGTGAGGGCAGGGGCCTGCCTGGCCGTGCCGGGTGCTGACCGGCCCCCCCGCCCTCAGTTCCACAATGAGTTCATCCTCAAGTCGGAGCAGGACGGCTTCGTCCACCGCATCCGGGACATCATCCACCGCGTGGAGACCCTGCTCCGCAAGGATGGGCGCAGCGCCGCTGAGCTGCCCGAGAGCCCTGAGGCCGAGCACAGCGTGGGCAGCCCGGTGAGCGCCCGGCCCGGGAAGCGCTGGGGACGCCGCCGGTGCTGAGCACGGCTGGGGGTGCTGCCTGGCCCTGGGGAGCCCCGTGGGGAGGGGGCTGGGGTGCAGAGTGCTCCAGCCCTGCGTGGGAGCTGCCCCATGCCTGCAGCTGCAGGTCACCTCCCGCTCCTGCAACGGGTCGTGGAGCCCCCCTGCCCCCTGGGCTGCCAGCTCCTGTCCCCGCAGGCGGTGGGACTGGGGTGGGGGCCAGCGGGGGCTCAGCTGCATCCCCCTTGGCAGGCGGACCTGCAGCTGCAGGAGCTCTCACGCTCCATCTCCTCCTCATCCTCACTCAGCGGTACGTCTCTGTCCCAGTGTGGGCCCTTCCCGTCCCCACCCCAGCCCTGGGCAGGGTGGGTGACGGTCCTGCCCGAGGCCGGGGGTCCTGTGGAGTACATCCTGCCCCAGCTAAGCGCCGGCTGTCACCCCTCTGCCACAGACCTGGGCTGCACCAGTCCCAGCCTCTCGGTCCAGTCCCCCGTCCTGCCGTCGCTGAGCAGCTCCCCGTCAGAGAACGACCTCACCAGCCCTGCAGAGCCGCCGGCAGCCCCGGCCCGTGAGCTGCGGCCAGTGCTGCCGGGCTCCCCCGCAGGTACCAGCGCTGCGAGGCCAGGCACCTCCGTCCCAGCGGGGCTGCTGGCCCCAGCCTGTGCGGCTCACTGCTGTGAGGCCCTGAGCTGCCCGGGGCGTGCTAGGGACCGCTCCTGATGCTCCCCTCTCCACAGGCTCTGTCCAGACCTGGCCCCTCGTCTCGATGGCTCCCTCCTGGCTGACGACATCGCCAGCGTTCCCACAGACCCCCCCAAGCACCCCGGGGGGGCCTGTCCCACCAGCCCTGCCCCAAGCCCTCCTGTCCCCACTACCGCTCCCCACATCCCCCGTCCCCAGTGAGCCCAGCAGCCCCCTGAGCCCCCCTGTGACCAGCACACCCTGGTCCCCCACTTCCCCACTCCTGTCCCTGGCCAATGTCTTCTCCCTGGCGGTGATGAGCGTGGCCCACACGCTGCTGCCCGCCGTCTCCTCCATTGCCAGCTCGGGTGGGCACCTCTACCCCCCGCTGCTGCCACGGCCGCAGACCCTCGTCCTGGGGCCCCCGCGCTTCGTCTACCCGACCCCACCAGCATGGCCAAGCCAGCCCCGGCCGGCGGTGGGACGCTGCAGTCAGGGGGGGCTGCCGACCCCGCTGCTGGGGGGCCCACACCATTCCCTCCCTTGGCACCACCGTCCCCGCCATGCCCTGCAGGCAGCGGGGCCGTGGGGAGCCCCCCGCCATCACTGAGCACGTCCACACCGGGGAGCCCAGAGAGCAGCACGGTGAGTGTCGAGGTGGCGGGGGCTGCCTGTGGCGGGGCTCAGCACCAGTGGAGCTGGGTTGTTGCTGTGGATGATGCCCTGGGATGGGACAGAGTCCCTGGGACACAGGGAGGGGCTGAGCGGGCAGTGGGTCCCGTGGCATGGGAGCAGCAGTGGGGGGGGGGGTCAGGAGATGTGGGGGGACCCGGGGTGGGGTGGCTGATGGCACTCAGGTGTCCGCAGGTGCCACCCGGCTCCCCCAAGCCCAGCCACCCCCTCATCATCTCAGAGTCGCCAGCCCCTGGCGCGCCCAAGGCCCGGCTCTCGCCCATCAACGAAGGTGAGGTGGGGAAGGGCCATGGCTGTGCCACGCAGCCATGGCTGTGCCGGGACCCCGTGCCATCCCTGCCAGCCCACATGCCCTGAACCCCACCAACTGCCCCCTGTCCTCCGCAGAAGCCAAGCCCCAGATCCTGGGCCGGTTCCAAGTGACGCCGACCAAGGACCCGGCTGCGTCCTCCCCAGTGCCAGGCAGCAGCGAGGGTGAGCAGCGCGACACGGAGCCGCCAGCGAGCGGCTCCCCCCTGCCCACGGCCCCCGACACAGGCGGCAGCTCAAGCAGCGACTCGGACTCGGCGCTGGAGACGGCGGAGCAGGACCCTGAGGCTGGAGAGGCGCTGGCCAAGGAGAGCACGGCGGCACCAGTGGAGAGCGACCGGGAGGGCCCCGGGGAGGAGAGTGCGGAGAGCGCGCCGCAAGCCGTGCTGAGCCAGGTCTGGCTGAGCTACTCCCGCAGCCTGTCCTACCTGAGCAGTGACGATACCGAGAGCGAGGACGAGGAGATCTGGGAGGAGCTGCAGAACCTGCGCCAGAAGTGAGCAGCCCTGCAGCATGGGGGGGAGCGGGGCAGTTGGGCTGCACCCGGGGGGGCTGCACAGGGGCCGGGGCAGGTCTCGGTGCCCTGTCCCCAGAGGGCCCGGCCGGGTGCGGTGCATGGCTCAGCCCCTCCCGGTTCCCCCCAGGCACCTGGCCGAGGTGCAGCTGCTGCAGAGCGCCCAGAAGAAGGAGATTGAGGAGCTGTACCTGCGGATGGGGAAGCAGCCGCCGCTGGGCATCGTCTCCCCAGCCGCCGTGCTCTCCAGCCGCCAGCGCCGCCTCTCCAAGGGCAGTTTCAACCCCTCCCGCCGCAACAGCCTCCAGCGCCTGGAGCTGGCGCAGCCCCCAGGTACCAGCCCCCGCGGCTGGGGGGGCTGTGGGACACCGACCCTGGGCCCACGGGTTGTCGGGGCCCCACCGGCGCCCCCGCTCAGGGCCGCTCTGTCCCGGCAGGCATCATGCGCCGCAACTCGCTGAGCGGCAGCAGCACCGGCTCGCAGGAGCAGCGGCTGAGCAAGGGTGTGACCTTCGCCGAGGACCTGGCCCGGATGGTAAGGGGTGGGGGGCTGGTCCCGCTGCTGGGGGCCCTGTGGAACTCCCAGCCGGCCCCAGCTCACCACTACTTCTCTCCCCAGTAGCCAGCTGGCCAGGAGTGACTTCAGGAACTACCTCAACCAAGTGCCTGCTGCCCTGGGGGTGGGCGAGAGCCCCTGCACCTCCCGGGAGGACAGCGCTGGCCCTGGGGGCAGCCCGGCCCCCCCACCCACCCACCCCCAGCAGGGTACCTCTGTATCAGAGGAAGGCAGGCCTGGCCCACGCTTCTCCTCCCACCTCCTTGTGCCCCACAACCCCTCCCCGCCGTTCCCAGCCCCTTTGCTCAAGCCCAGCCCCAGTGGCAGGATGCAGGCGAGGTGCCACCATCCTTCACAGCTTTACCCCGAGCTGGACCCGTGCTGGCAGAACCAGTCCCCACCGGTGCCTTGCCCCGAGCAGAACACCCCCCCCCCCGCCCCCCCAAACCGCGTCCCCCTCACCCCACCCCCAGCCCCACGCCCCGGGGCTGCCCCATCTCGTCCTGCACAGCCGAGCCGGCTGCGGGGTGGGACGAAGCTCCCGCCGGGTGACGGAGCTGCAGCACGGGGAGTGGCCGCAGCGTGTTTCCCTACGAACCGACGTCCGGAAAGTGTTTTCATAAATACGAATTAAATACAAGTGGGGTCTGTCTGTGTCTTGTTTGGCGGGACTCGTGGACGCTGCCCTTGGCAAGAGCACAAACTGCGCCAGACGATAAAAGGCAGAATGCGAATTGCCCCATCCCGGCCGACACCTGGGCAGGACCCCGAGCTGGGCGCCGGCCGCCCGCTGCTCGAACACCGGGCGCTGCCGCAGCCTCCGGACGGGGCGTTTATTGTGGGGAGCGAGGGCGCTGCTGTAAGGAGGGAGCTCTGCGCCCGGGGAGCCCACCCAGCCCGTGCCCCGGCGATCCCCCGGTGCCGGCGGCCCGTCCAGCCCCGCGGGGGCCGCGGCTGACTCACGGGGCTCGCCGGGGCCGGGCGGGGCCCTCCGCGCTCAGCTCGCCGCGCCAGCGGCCCGCTCCCGCGCCCGTTCCCGCGCCGCCTCCGCCTCTTGCTCCAGCTCGTCCAGGAACCGCTCCTGCGACACCGAGTAGAAGGTGTAGCCGTCTGTGCCGGCGGGTTAAGGAAAGCAGCGGCGCGGCCCGCCCGGCGCGGCCCCCCCGGCCCGGCCCCCGCAGGATACAGATCCCGACCACCGCCGCGCCGATGCCGAGCGCCAGCAGCGCGTTGCGGCCGCGGAGCCGCCGTTGCAGCGCGCGGTGGCGCTGGGCGCGCTCCACCCGCGCCATGAGCAGCCGCTGCTCGGGGCTCAGCCCCGGCTCCCGCCCCGGGTCGATGCGCCGCGCGAAGGGCGCCTCGCCGCCCGGGCCCCGCGCCGCCGCCATCTTCCCTGTCCGCACGGCGCGGAGCTACGTCGCGGCCGGCGGGGAGGCGGGCCAATCAGCTCGCCGCGCGCAGGCGCAGTGGGAGCGGGGCGGTGGCGGGAGCGCGCTCTGATTGGTGGGGCGGGGTCCCGTGACCGGGAAGGCCTCGGGGCGGAGCCTCGCGGAGTGGCGGCGGGAACCGGGTTCGCGGCTGCGGCCCCGCGGAACCGGCCCCGTCGCCGGTGGGGGGGGCGGTTGCGGGAGCCCAGTGCCGCCTCCGCGGCTCGCGGGGGGTTCCGCGGGACCGGCGGCAGCGCAGCGCCGTGCTGCCGGTGCGGCGGTTACCGCCCGCGCGGCTGAATGGGGCCCCAGGCGCGGGCAGCGTCCCGGGGCCGGGACTCGGGGCCCGTGTTCGGCGGGGTCGCTCCCGAGATCATCGAGGACGCGCTGATCCGCCTGGCCACGGAGAACGAGCGGCACCTGAGCGAGCTGCCGGGCCGGGCCGGGTTCTTCAAGGAGACGCGGATCGTGGGTGAGGCCGCCGCCGCCTCCCAGGGAGGTTAACAGCTCCGTGAGGAGCGTCACTTGGCTGAAGTGAACGACTATCGCAATTATTTGTTGGGGGGGTTTTTTTGTTTGTTGTTTTTCCAGAATTTATATTCCTTTTGTCTGAAAAATGGCACTTGGACCACTCCGCAAGGTACCAAGCAGTGGAGTTACTTGAAAGGTAACGGGTGCTCTGAGCGCTTAGTGCATCTCTCGTTTCTCTCACGCGGTTACGCTGTGCGCGCTCTGTACAGCTCATCCAAACAACGAATAATGGCTTTTTGTGTGTCTAGAGCTTTGTCACTTTACTAATTTAATTCAAATTAACAGCTATCCGTATATTGTGAGTGCATGGAGAATTGCTTTTCTTCCTTTTTCTTAGCAGAAGAGATCTGTTTTCTGAGCAGTTGTGGGTTTTGTAGGTTTATGATCAAGCAAGTAGAACAAATCTGTAAGTCCTCCAGAGGGAACCATGAACAAGGACAAGGGAGCAGCTGGAGCTCTCTGAGCAATCAGATATATGACACGTTTGTCCTGCGACTTGTGTCGTGCGTTCAGCTTGCAAGCAAAGTTTCCTTACACTATAATGTAAGCCAGCTAAACCTTTTCTTATAACATTATTTAGCAGTGTAGTAAATTACACAGCATATTAATCTCCATTAAAAAATAGATATCCTCTTTGAAAAATAGTAGTTATAATGAAATGCAAAGGATATTGTAATGGAGACCTAAATCTCTTCCACTTGGGGCAGGTTAATCGTCACTTGTCAAGTAACAACCTGTCAGGAAATGTTCCCTGTATACTGGGGGAAAAAAGTACAGGCAGTGGGAAAACTCGGCCTGTGGTTGTTGAAAATTGTATGGCTGCAGAGGGTCCACACCTGTCTGGGGAAGGTTTGTGGAGTAGAGGAAACCTGCGGCAGAGGTCTGAGCTGGATTTGAGATGCCAGCTCAAAATACGAGTTAGACAGCTGGGTTAGCGGGCAGCATCGCTGCAGTGGCTCCTCCTTAAATTCAGTGGGAGGAGTAAAGCAAGAAAGTGCTTTGTTCTTAGCATGTGCCTTATTGCCTAGAAGATAATCTTTTTTCCTCTTCAGATAGTTAACAGTGACATGGCTTTAAAATTTCTGCAATCCTTAAAGTACTGCTACACTAAGCAGGAATTGCTTGAGTCGGAGCTTGCAGTTCTAAAAACTCTGCACTTCCAGATCAACGTGTCAACTCCTTTGGCTTACGTGGAATTGCTTCTAGAGGTTTTAGGTAAGAGTATTAATAAGAGAGAATGGTAAAGAATTTTTTTTAAAGCATAATAGAGCTATTACTGATCTGAAACAAAATGTCTCATGTTACAGAGCTTTGCATACCGTGAAGGCACATGAAACTTTTCAGATTGGCCAGGGCTTTATTTTTTGTATGTAGTTCTTAATAAAACCTGATATTGTTCTTGGGCAGTCATCATGACTCATTCAGTAAAAGATGAAGTGTTTAAAACCCCCAAAATCTAATGTAAGGCCACATTTTCTACAATGACTTACCCTTTTTTTTTGCCCAGGCATGACAACCTGGATTTCAGAATGAGTGAAATTATACTGAGATTGAAAGAGCCTATGGCATGAGAAGGCCTGTGGCATTAAGAAACAAAGGGCAGTTGTCACCAGAAATCTTCATCCCTCGCTTACAGCAACTAACACTTCTTTCTAATTCAGTTTAATGACTCAAAGTGTATGGCTGATTGTGTATGATCTCTGTGCTAGGACACAACGGCTGCTTGCTTCCTGCAAAACCATTACATCAGATGTGTATGCAACTATTAGACTTCTCCTATCTTACAAGAGATACCATCTACAACACTTTGTTGAAGATTGCCATCGAAAATTCAACACCAAGCAAACTGCAGGTGTAAGTACTGATGTGACTGTTAATTGAAATTAAAACTCTCAAAAAAAAAAGCTAAAAAATAGTAGCATAATTCCCACTATGCCATTTTTGGGGCATGTTTTAAGATTTTAATTTTAGGGGCTTTCAGCATTGCTTATTGATCTTAATAGACCAGTTCAAAGCACTATGCTTCACCACATTTGCCTTAGGGGCAAGCTAGGCAAGTGTTTTAACTTCATTGTAAAAATCCTGTCAATTAAAGTTAACAGTATCAGGCTTTATTTGGAGTGAATAAGCGAACATGTCCATAGGCTGTATAGCAATTACAGAAGTAGGTCCTTTTGAACTGTAAAGCTAGCATCGTTCTACACTAGAAGACACTTCTACTTCTGCAGAGCAAAGTTTTTGACAGTAAAGGAAGATTTCATGCTCCTGGCTGTTGGAATCATCAGTACAAGTGTGTTCGTACTAAACCCTGAGCACTGGAAGCAGGTACAGTCGATTCTAAATGCATTAGCTCTACGTGAAAAAAAAATGAATTGTTTCTATGTCTAAGCACAGCGAGGAGACAGGTAGAGTCTACTGGGAGTAGCGTGGGGGAGGTGATGTCTTTCAGGTTTTTTAAGCAGGAAGCATGTGTGTTTTTGTAAGAGCGTTACGACGATACACAGGCAGTTCTGCAGGAAGGCTTGTGCTTGCACTAGTGTGAGCATATCCTCACGCTTCAGCTTCTTCACAGCCATCGTTTGGTTGATAGGTGGAGAAGCAATCCCATGGGACAACTTTCTGCCCAAACTGCTACTGAATACTATAACAAACAGCCTATTGCAGATAGTAGCTTTTTCATTTTTCTTCTTTAGTAGAAGCAATTAAATTAAAAAAGAAAAAAACCAAAACACAACAGAAAACCCAAAGCAAGCAAGAAAGCAAACAAAAACCCAACCAAATAAAAAACATACTGAGCAGTGCACCCATGGAGCACTATTATTGTCGTTAGATTTGGAGGATTAAAAAGTGTATCTGTACAGTGCCTAAGAGACATTCGTTTCAGCAAGTACCTTTTTTTTTTTTTTAAGGTTGTGGAGCATTTAAACTCTATCACTGGTATTACTTCACAAAGTATCTTAGAACTTTCTTACGCAGTACTGAAACACATCATTGGCAGTACCACTCCAAAGCAGCACTATAGGAACTGTGGAACAAAAGCTCCAGAGAACAGAATTCTACCTCTTAAATAGAACCATCTTCTACAGCAGTCACTAGTGTATCAGTAGCAAACTGTTACGCTGCTGGTGATAGTTCATCTGTGATGCACAGGGCACCCAGCACAGTTTGGTTTTACTTTTGAACAGCAGGTGTTCTGTAACATTTCACATGTTACGTGCTAATTAGAAAAGCTCATCCTTTCAGGCAATGCTCTAGTGTGGAGAAGGGAGGCACACAGGAGCAAAGTAGCATTCAGAAATACAATAAAGCTTTTGGTGCTGAAAGAGGTAAGAGCTACATCTTCTAAGTTAGGAATCTAAGTTTCCTTTGAGTAAAGAGAAAACTCTAAAAGTCATGTTTTGAAAAGGCATTAATGTGCAGGGTATTCTGCCTGGTACTTTGTATTGCTATAAGCAGTCCAGTCACTACAACCAGGGCTGTGCTTTCTCCACTACCTGCTTTTTAAAAAATTACCGTCTCAGGCAGCCTGCTTGTTCCTGTTTTCCTCTCTGCCAGTGCTCAGAGCCTGTTTGCTCTTACCCAAATAAAGCCAGACAGTTGGGCGCTGTTGTGAAAAGCACAGAACCCCACCGGTTTTGAAAGCGATGGGGTTGTTGCAAGAGCAGGTGCCTGTTCAGCCCGGCCACGTACGGGCCAGGGGCTGCTCATGCTGGGTCTGGCCCACGCCAGACGAAAGCACGCTGCCCATACAACAGTGTTTTGTTACTTAATCAGTGCAGCTCTGCAAAAACAGGCTGCAGGAACTATTACAAACAATATCATCATAGCTAACACTATTTTAAACAGTATCAAACCTTGTTAAGTTCTGTGGCACAAAGAAGTGCTGATATGTCTTAGAAAATATTTTATTTCAAGCTGTAGTTAACTCTTTAATGAACAAACAGGGCTTCTGTGAGTTCTTCCACGTTCTGCCCTGTGTTTGTAACATTTAGCTTTTCTAACCGGTGTTAAGCTGTAACAGAGTAGTATCAAATTCACTGGTGTTGTGAAGTTCAACAATAATTTATACACATTTCTACAAACCGCAAAGTACCAGTTTAGCATCTCTTTAATAGCTGATTTTTTTTCATTCTGTTCAGCTCAATGATATAACTTTACATATTGCTTTACTACATACTACTTGTAATAATGGTATTTTAAATAAAGTGTCTTGTGGATTTTTGGTATTGTAAACATTTTGTACTGGCTAATATTAACAGACATCTTAATTTGACTTTCTCCAACAAAATGCAAACACTCTACAGCTGCCAGGATGAGTTCTTTACATGGTTACTTGTTATAGAATTGGGATGAGACCCAGGCCAGACCCCACTTCAGGTTAGTTAACATGAATTTTAGTGCTTTTGTCCATTGCTCCTCAGAGTTAAACTGTGTTTTAATAGAGTAAGAGCCACCACTGCCACCTGTATCTTCAATCTTTCCTTTCTCCACGTCCATCCTGCATCACACACAAAGTTTTATTAGTGCATTACTATTGCAAGCATTTAATCTCAGTACGCCATCAAGCACTAAAATTTGAATCTGATATTCCTATTATTCTATGTAAGAATACTTTTTTTAAAGGAAATCTAGCAAGCCTCAGGTCTTCACCTGAGGAACTAGCTTTAAATTTCAATTGAGAGCAAATGTAGTAATCATGCACACTTAAAAGAACAGTGGATGATTCCAGAAAGACAGGACTGAAACAGCAAGCAGTGCTGTAGGCTGCTCCATAGGTCAGTTAGTGCTGTGCAGGACAGCATTTGAGGTGGTAATCTGACATGTTATAGCAACACTCACCTGTAAGGCAAACAAAACCGAGTTTCGCCTTTTTCCACTTCCTCTTTAAACTGCTGCACGCAGTCCAGGAAAGCCACCATTGCATGATCAAACTTATTGTCCCAGAAGAACCTCAGGCCTCCAGAACAGTACAAGGGGAGCTCCTGGAAAAGAGATTTGTTTCAGGCACCCCAAGCACTCCATTTTAGATATGGTCATCACAGCTCTTTAGTCTTGTGTGAGGCTTAAATTTGTCACAGGATGCTTAGAAATGGTTGGTGGCACGTAATAAGTATGACTTGTTTTGTGGTAAGTGCCTACCGCACACAGGCTGGGTTCCTAGTGTGGTGCATAGTTCAGGAGTCCTGTTGTTTCTAATGCTACTGGATGGCAGAATGAGTGGCTTGATACAGGATATGGAGGGAGATATTATTATGTTGGAGGAGTTGGGGCAGCTAGGCCTCCTGTACCATAAATTCATAAAGAACTGGTCTTCTGCATCCCCCAGCGTGACCAAGGCTCTGTGAGATTCAAGGTCAATGTCCTCTGATTTGTGTAGGATCTCTTACCTTTGATTTGTCTGTGAGGGACTCTAAATATGAGTGGTTGCCATATGGTACAAGACGGTATCTGAAAGGAGATATGATTCACCAGATGTATCTAACTGTCTGTATCTGGGTCACGAGTGAAATGTGTGTTGTATTGCGTTTACCTTTGAAACTTCAGGCCCATTTTGTTAGCAAGGGCGTGTAGCAACAGCACAGTCTGCCCCCAGGCAGCATTGATCTCATTCCATTCTACAGGAACGCTGGGGAGACGGCCAAGCCTGAAGTTATTTATTGTGCCAAACTGACCACTGTGCCTGTGATAAGAGGAATTATAAATAAGCGCACTGAGGCAGGAACAGTTTCTAGCGTACTAACCAAACAAGGGCCACGTACCAGCAGCTGCAGAACACACAGTGCTAAACAAGTAAAAGGAGGGTTTGGGGCTCTGCTTAAAAAGTATACGTAAATACAACCACTTGTTCTCTTTTTATGACAGAGCTCACAAGAACCAACCAAACACCCAAACCCCCGAGCTACCTGCTCTGCAAAGCCTGACATTAGAGCATTATGTTGGCTAGCACAGCAGGTCCCGGTTCATTAGTGGGGTTAGTGAAAGAGTCACTTCAGAGTCTACTCTGACACCTGCACATGGTCACGCACCTGTCGGTGACACTTGGGAGCTGTGACCAGTTGCTTTGTTGTGGGGTAACTATGACTTGACTAGCACCTTTCCTGTCAAATGCAGTATTACTTGAACTGCCCCACGTTGCAGATTCTTAGCAAACTGACGCAATATTCCAGTGTCTACGTTACCAGATATGAAAGGTTGCATTGAAAACGTTGGTTTTCTTTAGTTTATCCAATTGCATCTGAGCATAGCGCATTTGGTTGTCCACACTTTTCAGCTCATCATCTAGCTCCAGTTGTTGCCTCTTGAATTCACAGTATTCCTTCTGATACCTTTTAATAAAAGCAAGACAAGAAGTGCTAAGCACAGGCTTTTACAGAAAAGTGATTGCTCACACAGTACACTAGGTTTTTTTGGTCTAGCCAACTTCAATTTTGCAGAGAACAAGCTACTTGCATTTGGGCATTATTTACCAGTTTCTCCACCCTATAATCTCATTTATTGTTACCTAAAATCCCTGCGATAAAATGCAGTTGTAGTTCACTCACTGAGCTTCTTCCTGCTCCAGCTGCTCTGCCTCTGCCCTGACTCTCTCGAAGTCTTCAGCCACGATCTTGCGGTTCTTCTCAACGTCCTCCAGCTCCTGAATCAGTTGCTCTTCCTCCAGTGCGAGTTCTTTCAGTTCTGCTTGCAGTTTCTCCTTATCATCCTCATTCATTTGTTCCAGTATCTCCAAACATCTCCTACATGAGAGCAACAGGATTACCAAAACAGGGATCCTTGGAAGCCCCCCCACTAACAGCCCCCAGTTCCTTGACAGCCTGGGCACGGGAGCAGAAGTGCAAACAGGGACTCTGATCTCCTGTGCACCGCTCGTTAATCCTCAGCTCTCCATGCTGATCCTGCACACAGGAGAACAGGGGAGTGAGATGGTGACCGAGGATCTGTTGCTGCCTGTCAGTAACCATTTCTGTGAGGCCCCTGACTGCACAGGAATGCTGCCACTGTGGCCAGTCGTTCTGATGGGCTTACAGACTTCAGCTGCACCTGTATACCACAGAACTCTTAAAAACTTTTTTTTCATCTCCTTCGAGAAGGGAAACCCCAAGCGCTGAAGTCAGGGGTGTCTCTTCCTGATCATGGAAAGCCAGATCAAGGATGTTTTCTTTCCCGAGGCTTCAACCTAAAGCAGCTCAGCCTCAGGTCACCTCTGGATCACTCACTTGTAGTTCTGGCATTCGTTCTCCGTGATGTTAAGCTGTGTGTCTAGTTGGTCTAGCAGAGTGTCTGTGCATTCCTCACACAGAGGGTGATCCACATCTGTCTGCCCAGACATAATGTCGAAGAGGTCGCCGGTGACCTGCAGGAAGAGCTCACCGTTAGTTTGGGGGAAGCCGCAGCTGCTGCCGGCCGGTTCTCAACAGACAGGCTTGTGCTGCTTCCACTGGCAGAGTATTTTCTGCAGGTCAAATCTTGATTGAAAATGCACCAGCTTTACTGAACTACTCACCAACAAAGATCCTGGAAGGCTGGTGCTATGGGAAACTCTGCAGTTTAGCCTTACAGAGCATCCAGAAAAACCGATGCTCTGCTCAAAAGTATCCGAGTTTACCACCACTGACTTGCCTTCAGTCTCCGGCTGAGGTTTTCCATCGTGCCGCCATCTGACGCCTCTCCAATCAGCGTGAAACTGTTGGCGCTCTCTGTAGACATCATTCTTGGAAAGAATTTTATGGAAAGTTGAGCGCTGAGGGTCCAGAGGAGCCAGGCCTAGTGCTAGACTTAAATCTAAGACTTGTTCAAGAGTCAGAAAGGAAGAACATACAAGACGTACTTGCAGAAGGGTGGGGGAGCCTGCGTTTCATCAGAGCTCTCTCAGGACAGCGTTTTGTGCTAACCCGTAGCTAATAAGCAGCATCCTAAATACTGCGCGCTTAGGTATTTTTGGATGGCTGCTGAGGAGCCCAAGGGCCCCAGGGATCCCTGGGGGGAGGCTCTAAGGGGGTCTGGCACCCCGCTGAGGGGTGCCCCGTGGGGGAAGCTGCTGTGGGACCCACCCGCGGCCGGGCCGGGCCCGGGGGGAGCACG